CCCAGGGACATGGCGTTATGTGTACAGGAATTTACCCCCCATACCCAGGGACATGGCGTTATGCGTACAGGGATTTACCCCATACCCAGGGACATGGCGTTATTTGTATAGGGATTTACCCCATACCCATGGAAATGGCATTATTTGTACAGGGGTTTACCCCATACCCAGGGAAATGGCGTTATTTGTACAGGGATTTACCCCATACCCAGGGAAATGGCGTTATTTGTACAGGGATTTACCCCATACCCAGGGAAATGGCGTTATTTGTACAGGGATTTACCCCATACCCAGGGACATGGCGTTATGTGTACAGGGATTTACCCCATACCCATGGACATGGCGTTATGTGTACAGGGATTTACCCCATACCTAGAGATATGGCGTTATGTGTACAGGGATTTACCCCATACCCTGGGACATGGCGTTATGTGTACAGGAATTTACCCCCATACCCAGGGACATGGCGTTATTTGTACAGGGATTGACCTCATCCCAGGGACATGGCGTTATTTGTACAGGGATTTACCCCATACCCAGGGACATGGCGTTATTTGTATAGGGATTTACCCCATACCCATGGAAATGGCATTATTTGTACAGGGGTTTACCCCATACCCAGGGACATGGCGTTATTTGTACAGGGATTTACCTCATCCCAGGGACATGGCGTTATTTAAACAGGGATTTACCCCCATACCCAGGGAAATGGCGTTATTTGTACAGGGATTTACCCCATACCCATGGAAATGGCATTATTTGTACAGGGGTTTACCCCATACCCAGGGACATGGCGTTATTTGTACAGGGATTTACCCCATACCCATGGAAATGGCATTATTTGTACAGGGGTTTACCCCATACCCAGGGACATGGCGTTATTTGTACAGGGATTTACCCCATACCCTGGGACATGGCGTTATTTGTACAGGGATTTACCCCATACCCATGGAAATGGCATTATTTGTACAGGGGTTATTTGTTTATTCGTACATACGGTGCTATTTTTAATTTTAATTTTTATGTCTTAGCATATGTATTAGACATTTTATTATTTTAACATATTTTGTTGAATTGTGATAAAAAAAAATTAAAAAAAAATGTCAAATTTTCTTTACGGTGGTAATAAAGATTATTATTATTATTATTGTATATTGTTTTCGCGAAAAATAAACAAATGCTCGGGGAGCTGTCGACTCTCAGGTTGAGGTGAAGACATCAAATGAAACATGTGGTTTTGCGGTTTGAGTGGTTTACTTTTCTCTACGATGTGCCTAATTATTTCTCCTCTTGAGGTTTAGCTGCATTTTTGAAATATTCTAACTTCCCTTGGATAAGATCGGTATCACACCATTAAGCTTTGTCCCAGATTTTCAAATCGTCCGATATTCGCTATCTTATGAGCTGGGTGCAAAGGTCATAGAAATCATAACACGATCCATCGGATGATCAGCATGACAAAATACACGGAAGGAAATGCTCTATTTTTACCCTACAAGGTATTCCAACAAAATGAACTCCATATGCCCTTCAAAAGCCACTCTTTCATGCAATGCAAATATAAACACAGTCTCTAGTGTAGGGCTTGCCAGTTAAGTTTGTTTATAACAGTGCTCGATTCAAGCTGTTCCAGACATTTTTTCTTACTAGACTGCATATGGTTACACTCTGGGGGTAGAGTGACGCTGGTAGTAGTCTTCAAAGAATATACTTAGTATTGAATACGTGCATCCACAGTTCGAGGTTAAATGAAAGAATACACCGTGTACATATAGTGTGACTATCGATTACTCAGGACTAGTTATCCGTGTTTTACCTTCGCTAAGACAGGATTTATTATAAACCTTGCAGTATGATTACTTTAAATCCAAAGGCACAAACGTTGTGTTGACTGTGTGCGGGATGAAGCACGGTCCCTATAATTAGTATTATATAAAGAAAGCATACATGATTGGTTAATATATAATGGAAGCATACCTGTTCAATCATATTGTGTATGGTCCTACAGAAGAGTGGTATTAACCCGATCCCGAGTCCGCATAGTAGCACTCCAAACACACTACCAGTGACATACCGAACAGTCGGCGTCACCATCGCACTAGTGGATGTTCGTTCGTATCAGTATTAAACGCGGCCAAGTATGAAAATACCCTGCACTGTTTCGAAATCTTCCCGTGTAGCGAACCCAAATCTTCTTCAAACTAGCAATCTGGAAGTCACGCTATTTTGCAGACATTCAACAAGTAAAGTAAAAAGGCGAGGTGAAATCCCAGCGGGTTCCTTTGTTTCCTTCTCAGTCGAGGCTCGCGTTACCCAAGGTGACCCTCTTGTAAAGACCATGTGAAGTATTTTCTGTACAGGGGTCATCCACATGGCAGTTACGCCAGATAAAATAACCGAATACGCGCAGTTAACTTAATTAACTTGGATGAGATTGACAAATAAATGTACACCCCTTTCATGATATTTGTTGTGTCTTCGGTAGAACGCCTCCAAGTTTAGATAAATAAACAATTCGTAGAGGGCGCATGGAGATACATTGCCGCGTGTGTACAAATGTGCATTTTTTTCGGAAATATTTGCATTGTAATGTGTTTCATTGTTTTTTTTTGGGGGGGGGATATGTAACATGTGCGCAAAGAGGGCTTTTAATTTCTAAGCGTTATCCCGTATTCAGATCAACAATTCGCCCCGAATACTAGCTATTGATTAGAATGCATCAGTCTTCAAAGTTTGTTGATCCTTCCTGGTTGGCGTGAAGGGGACTCGGAGCCACTCATTGCACTCAATCTGCTGGTCTTTTGACAAATATGGCTGGGATTGTTAACGCCCAGTGAGGACAGAAACATCTGAAACATCAAACAAACCGGTATTTTCCCGTTACCCCTGTGTAATATGGACAATTAAATCCAACTGAAGAAAGAGATAAAACTGAAATGACGTAGAAATAGCATGTTTCAAACTGGTTGGAACAAATATCGCAACAATATTGCGCACAGAAATAAATAACTAAACTTGCTGTCTCTTCGTAAACAGAATACAGTGAACAGCTGAAACCTGGGTACATTTTGAAGATTTTATAAATATAATTTTTTTCTAAATCAAAATAGATGATAGATTTATAATTGGCAAATCCAGAGTGGTATTGTAAGATCGTCGCTAGTTTGTCCAACAACATCTAACCAGAAAGCGATTCATTTATAATAAGTTGGCGGTCGCATGCATGCCTATGTATCTGGGTCGGCATGGGGTATTTTCGTAAGCTGTAATCAATTGTTTGTATTTCCGTAATAATGTAATTTAAGTATATAAAACACGTAGACATGGGCAAGTTGTAAAATGTAATCAGCTATTTTATTCGTCCGGGATCTTATTTTTGTAAGCATCATGATTATAAAGCATTTACCGCATCAAATGTCGTAATTCGTAAACAAATTTTGATTCTTAAACACAAATTATCAAATATATTATAACAATGTAATTAGTAATTTGCTTTATCTGTAAAGTGTAAAAACCTATTTTTACATTAAATAGAACTTTCCATTTTATTTCATGTATGTGAACATTATGGGCGTGAACGATGTTGAGCTCTATTTTGGGCAAATCGCTATTAAATGTTTTAATTTCAATGGAAGTTGATGATCGGTATAAATATGTTTATAATCTATAGATTTCTGCTTTTCTCTTTAAAGCAGTGCTGGTGGATAAAAAACGAGGGTTATGGCCCTAGTTATTTTAATACATCTGTATCGCTAGGAATTAAATTCATGAATACCAAATATATTTCACACAGTTTGCAATATTTTAAATTTTTATACAAAGATCTCTAAAAAATGATTTTTTATATTATTATGAAAAATATACCTTAATGTAATTTAAAGATGTGTTATTGTTATGAATAATCCTTTTTACATTACGGTCTCCATGAAATATGTACTTACTTACTTAAGGAACTACCGGGAATAAATAAAATAAATAAATAAATAAAATAAATACTAGTAAGTGAACAGGGGGTCATGACGAGCGTCATCGAACAATATACGGTAGTACTTGTATGCGCGGAAATGAGTCGTGTTTAGCCATTGGAGAATCCTGATGTCTTGTGAGTGTTCTGTAAAAAACACACGCTTGTGTGAAGGTTGCAGACAACACAATAGGTAAGCGAATACAGCTGATAAAATTAATTCTAAATTGGCAGGTATTGCGTAATCTATATGTACAATGTATGCGCGGCAGCGTGGCGACAATTCTCAGCTGGTATCCACTACACTGCATCGGACACAAGTGAAGAGACCTTTTTTGACGAGCATACGGGTATTTAGTTCATGTGGCATGTACTACCGTAACTAGGTACTAATCTCCGGGGTTACCGGCAATAATTTGACGGTATAGGACGGGCACCAACTGACATGGGACGGGCACCAACTGACATGGGATGGGCACCAACTGACATGGGACGGGCACCAACTGACATGGGACGGGCACCAACTGACATGGGACGGGCACCAACTGACATGGGACGGGCACCAACTGACATGGGACGGGCACCAACTGACATGGGACGGGCACCAACTGACATGGGACGGGCACCAACTGACATGGGACGGGCACCAACTGACATGGGACGGGCACCAACTGACATGTCAGTTGGGATATATGTACATCTTTCCATCTGTCTTTCTTGGAAGGATTAATCCCACGCGTGGCACTTGATAGATACTTGATACTAGTTATGTTGATGTCTCTGGTATCAATGGAATAGGGGCGTTGTCCAGACGAATAGCTGATCGTAAAGAAGTTTATCTTGGTCAATGAAAACATTGGGAAGTGTAAGCCTTCTTATAACCACAGTCCCTAGAGTAAGGAATAAACTGTAACTATTTGGTTTATAGTGCATTTTGTTGACATAGCAACATAGACCAATACTTGGATAATACAATATTAGGATTTACTGAGGAGCAATATCTCTACGTACCGCGCGAAACACAGTAAACACTCAATGAGCTTGTTTAATGTTATAACATGTTTTGTGTCTTTCACCCACTACTCAATAATTAACTGAATAAATAAAATAGCACAACATGGAAATAGTAAAAGTAGACTCTCGGAAATATGGCATTTGCTTAAAGTACATAGTACATAATACTAGTAATTGCATCAAACGATCACCATATTCCCATCAAAAGCCTCGATTTATTTAAATGAAAAAGGATTGACCTGTTGCCTGATTGTATTAAGCTTCAGAAATATCTTGATCATGTAGTTGGTTGGTTTTCTAGATGGCAACCTAAAATTAACTTCAATAAATGTTGTTATAAATGTTGTTATAAATGTTGTAGTAAATGTTGGTATAAATATTGTTATAAATGTTGTTATAAATGTTGTTGTAAATGTTGTTTTAAATGTTGTTATAAATGTTAGTATAAATGATGTAAATGTTGTTATAAATGTTGTTGTAAATGTTGTAAATATTGTTATAAATGTTGTTATAAATGTTGTTGTAAATGTTGTTGTAATTGTTGTTATAAATGTTGTTGTAAATGTTGTTGTAAATGTTGTTCTAAATGTTGTTGCAAATGTTGTTGTAAATATTGTTATAAATGATGTTGTAAATGTTGTTATAAATGTTGTAAATGTTGTAAATATTGTTATAAATGTTGTTGTAAATGTTGTAATTAATGTTGTTATTAATGTTGTTGTAAATGTTGTTATTAATGTTATTATAAATGTTGTTATTAATGTTGTTATTAATGTTGTAAATGTTGTAAATGTTGTAAATATTGTTATAAATGTTGTTATAAATGTTGTAAATGTTGTAAATATTGTTATAAATGTTGTTGTAAATGTTGTAATTAATGTTGTTATTAATGTTGTTGTAAATGTTGTTATTAATGTTGTTATTAATGTTGTTGTAAATGGTGTTATTAATGTTGTTATTAATGTTGTTATAAATGTTGGTATAAATGTTGTTGTAAATGTTGTTATGTTGTTGTAAATGTTGTTATTAATGTTGTTATTAATGTTGTTGTATATGTTGTTATTAATGTTGTTATTAATGTTGTTGTAAATGTTGTCATTAATGTTGTTATTAATGTTGTTATAAATGTTGGTATAAATGTTGTAAATGTTGTTATAAATGTTGTTGTATGTAAATGTTGCTGTAATTGTTGTTAAATGTTGTTGTAAATGTTGTTGTAAATGTTGTTATAAATGTTGGTATAAATGTTGTTATTAATGTTGTTGTAAATGTTGTTATTAATGTTGTTGTAAATGTTGTTATTAATGTTGTTATTAATGTTGTTGTAAATGTTGTTATTAATGTTGTTATAAATGTTGGTATAAATGTTGTTGTAAATGTTGTTATAAATGTTGTTGTAAATGCTGTTGTAAATGTTGTAAATGTTATAAATGTTGTTATAAATGTTGTTGTAAATGTTGTTGTAAATGTTGTTATAAATGTTGTTAATGTTGTAAATATTGTTATAAATGTTGTTGTAAATGTTGTTATTAATGTTGTTATAAATGTTGTTGTAAATGTTGTAGTAAATGTTGTTATAAATGTTGTAAATTGTAAATGTTGTAAA